AAAGTTCTTCTGCACACCAAGCATCCCATAAGCAAAAGTGAAAAAAATGGAATAGAGGCATAAGTCTATAACTATATTTATTTATTTACTACCATAAGAGTGTTTACAAAGTAATAAGAAAAGCAGAGGCACCAACAATTTGTTTTTATAGAATAGAAAAAATAATTTTAAGCTCACTATAATTTAGAAATCTACAAAATGCCATTTATTACTATAAAATTAGCAGTGACAGAAATTGAGGACATGCAGTGTTACAGTGGGAACTAGAGACATAAGCGCCCAGAAGCTGCTGAGGGCAACATAAAGTCGTACAGTTTCCCTAAGAAGGGATATAGCAGCAGTGTGAGAACCTTGGATGGGCCTGTACATTAACTCAGCAGTTTCAGGTTTGTGTTTTTAACTTAAATAATTAGGAATATTGGCAAAGTTTCAACACTATAAAAGAAATTTAGAAATATCTTAACTTTTGTTAGAACTCTTGTTTCCATAAAAGAAAGGAAGTCTTTTTCTGATCCACATAGAGGCATCATTCATGTCCCTCTTTGTTTTGAAGCTGTTTCTAACATTCAGGGAAATTGCCTTTTTCTGCCTAGAAGCACCATGTAATGAGTGGTATTATATACCAGTGGCCTGTTGTTATACAAGGTCAACAAAGTAGAGGTACTGGGGCTCCTTTTAGAAGCTAAATACTTACCTATTGAGATGTTAAAGAGATCTTTATTTCATATCTATTATTTTGCACAATTTTTTTTAGTAATTGACTCATTCATTTAGTTAGTAAACATTGATGGTACCATAGAGTTGTTAGACACAGTGATTGCAAGGGTGATTAACATGGGCCATGTTATTGTGCAGAGAGTCACAAAATCAAGTATTTACAAGTCTAGCAAGATGCTTATTTAAAAAGTGAGATTACAAAAATACTTTGACCAGATGATAAATGGAAGCCTTTACAAACACCCAAATGCATGAGAATTTCCTCCTTACTGTAGAAATGGTAGTGTAGATAGAGTGCACCCGAGACTGTAGTATTATTTGTTACTATATCCCAGGCATTGTTCTGTGTTTTTCTGTCTTAAATCAATCCTTAAAAGAAGCCAGGGCAGTAGATTATAGTTAGGAAGTCACTGAACTATGATAACCACATTCAAAGTGGGGAAAGCCAGAATTTCAGTCCAGGTGGGATTATGTAGAACTCAATTTAACCATCATGATCACAGTTTAACACTTCCTTCAAACAAAAACAGAGACCAAAGAGAGATTACCAAGCTGATCTGGAGAGTTAGGCAGGCTTTATTTATCAGCAGCCCTGTAAGCCCACAACGAAGGATTGTGAATATTAGCTTAGGCTGCTTAGGTGCCAAGCACAAGCATGTGGATGCTTACTGAGAGGAACAAGGCTTACACTCATGCTCATATTCATAATTTTTAAGAAATCACTCTCATTATCAGGAGAAAGTACTAGAGAACAGCCCACATGGACAGCTTGGAGGGCCTGGGGTTGGGGGGTTGGGGGGTCCAGGGAGGAGGCTTCTGCTTACTGCGTTCTCTCAGGGCATACACTGAATCCAAACAGTGATCTCTATTGCAAGTGACAGAACTCAAACCAGCAAAAGGAAACACATGTGACTAACAGGTCTAGAGTATTGTTAGCCTCAAGCAGACTGGTTTCAGAACTGAGATTGGTGGCACTGGCCTTTTCTTTTCTTGGTTTACTTTCCTTGTGTTGACTTCATTCTTGAGTCATATATTCCCTTCGGTATGGTACAACTGGAAAAAACAGTCTTTCCTGGGAGAGCTTTTTCCTTCTTAAAAAAAATCAAAAGATCACTGAGCAGGGGCTGGAGAGATGGCTCAGCAGTTAAGAGCACCAGTTTCTCCTGCAAAGGACCTGGGCTCTATTCCCAGCACCCACATGATGGCTAACAACCATCCAGTAACTCCAGTTCCAGGGAAATCTAATGCCTTCTTCTGACTCTGTGGGCACTGCATGACATGCATGGGTGCACTTACACACATGCATGCAATACCCTCATACACATAAAATAAAAATAATAAATATTAAAAGATCACTGAGCAGATTAGGTGAGTCCATATTAATGTGAAAACTGTGGTTTTGCACTCTGGTCAAATTCCTACTGACAACATATGACACCAGGTGCCAAAAAGGAGATTTTGACAGCAGTGGACAAAAGATGTTTCTAAACAGATCCATTTTTATTACATCATAGAAAGCAAGCTTTAATCTATTGTGCTTGTTACTACCTGCTTTTTATATTACATTTAATTATCCATAATTTCAAAGTTTTTGTTTAAATGTTCATTCCATCTTTAATTAGAGTCCTTATTTCTTCTATACAGCTTCTCTTTAAATCTATATATGCTAATAAGAATACTGTTCTAATACTTACCATATAAAGCCCAAGCTGACCTAGAATTCACTGCCTAGCTCAGACTGGCCTTGAATATAAAGTAAACTTCCTGCCTTAAATCTCTGAAGTGTGATTGTAGGCATGCACCACCATGCCTGGCTCCATTCTTTCCTTCTTGATTGTACCTGGCATCTTTTCTAATAATTGTTTTTCTCCATATCCTTGAATATAGTTATTATCGTAACTCCATTAGGTGGGTATTATTACTTCTGTTTTATTGTGGTAGACGCTGGACTTACAACTAGATTTTCTGCTAAATTGAATAACCTTCTGGCTATTAAAACTGCTTTCCTCTGCTTACCACTGCCACACACATTTATAGCAAGCTGGATCACCACAAAAAGTAGGAAAGTTACAAGTAAACAATATAGAAATAGAAATGAGGACCAAAAATAATGACAGATAAAATTTTAAAACATTGTGGGCTGGAGAGATGACTCACTGGTTAAGAGCACTGACTGCTCTTCCAGAGGACCCAGGTTCAGTTCCCAACACTCACATGGTGGCTAACAACCGTCTATAACTCCAGCTCCAGGGGATTCAGTGCCCTCTTCTGACCTCTGCAGACATTGAATGACACAGGCACACTTACACACATGCAGGCAATACATGCATACACATGGAGAAAAATGTAAAACATTGTAAGTCTCTGCTGTATGTGAGCATGCTAGTAAGTTTAAAATTAGGGAAGAAATCCCAGATGTCAGTGCCTAAAAATACCTGCCTTTCTTCCCAGAGCTTTGCCCGTTCTTTCTCTCTTTCTTAAACAAAACCCTTTCTCTCCCTTTTATGTAAAGTTCCCTGAAGACAAAGCCACTTTTTACTTTGTCTGAAGAATGACTTTTTATCCACACTCAGGCCCTCTCTGTGTCTCATGTTCTAAATTATTCTCATTTCTCTTAAGATGAATTCTGTCAAAGTTTTCTTTGTGGTAATGCATTCATTCCCTACCTCACTGCCCTTTTATGTATGATTATTAAAAGGTTATTGCATGTGAAAGGACCTTGAAAATTACAGAAGATGTAGAAATTAGTTACTTGTCAAATTATTTTAAGTACTTGCCGTACTTTACTAGCTGAATTAGAACCAAATGTTTATTTGTTCTTTTTCTGACCCACAACATAATCTATGTGAGAGTCAAAGCAGTCTTTTTCTAATATGATATGTTTAATGTAATAAATGTTCAAAATGTAGCATAAATGTTCAAAATGTTTGTCAAATATAGTCTTTGCTTTGGCTGAAAAAAGAAAGAAAATAGGAGTATGACAAGTATACAACTAACACCATGGGAATGAGAGTCATGTGATTATGCAAAAAGATTTATTTGAGAAGTCTAGGTTTCCCATTTCTTACCCACAATCTAAAGCCCAAAAAGTTCTAAAACCAAAATTATGTTTTAAAAAGATTGATTATTTATAAATAAACGGGTTTTTTTTTTTTTGGTCTCTTTTGAGACAGGAAAAAAAAATTATCGTGGAAAAAAAATTAGGGAAGAAAAAAAACTTAGGGAAGAAGCCAGGCATGGTGGCACACTCCTTTAGTCCCAGCACTTGGGAGGCAGAGGCAGGCAGATCTCTGTGAGTTTAAGACCAACATAGTCTACATAGCAAGTTCCAGGCCACCTTGGGGCTATAAGCAGACCCTGTTTAAAAAAAAAAAAATTACAGAAGAAAACAGTTTAAATTTTTAAATGACTCAAAGAATGTGAACAACTTGACCAAGCCAGTCAAAACCATGTAAGAAAATAGTCCAACATGTAGTTAATTTTTACCAAATTTTCAAATTCTTTTGCTGTAAAAATATGATAGAACACACACAAAAAAGGGAAGTTCTTAAATTATTTTATGAGGTTAGCATCCATTTAGAGATACTAAAGATAACAGCTACCACCCCCAGAATCATTTAGCATATGAACAGGAAGGCTGTGTACCTGAAAAGGAATTGTGTGTCACAGAGGGTATTGAAGGATAATTTTCATAGCTTTCTTTCTGGCATCCATAAGCAGAAATATTCATGTATTTTAAAATAGGATTAACCATTTTCTTTTCAAATGAATTTTGACTTCATAGCATTTTCTTAGATAATTTAAAGTATTTCAGTTATAGATTTTGGTTCTTGAGATGATAAGGTATATTTAAGAGACTTTCAATATTGACCTAAATTCATCATCTTTAAATAGCATGAGAACAACTCATGAACTATAAATGATTTAATTTAAAACTATGGCTTCAAAATATTTTTTCTTCAAACTTTAATGTAATCCTTAGTTCCTTTCCATAGGTATTTTATTATATGACATAACCAGGACTTCTCTTAGCCAAGAGCTCCAGATGAGGTATATCCAGTTCTTACACGATAGTCCTGAAAAGGGGGAACCGTAGACATGGAAGTTTTCTATAAATAACAGATGATAAGGTCTATCATGTTTAAGTCTGTCTTCCAAATTTATGAAGAAGGTATCCATTCAGTAAAATTACAAATAAAGAAAAAGCTCTGAGAAGAAACCGTGAGACTGCGGTGCTAGTCTGGTGTAGTGAGCCGTATTAAAAATACTCTGTTTACTCACAGATTGGCCGCCTCCAAGATCTGGTAAGGAAAAGTGAACAGGGTCTTGGTTCTGCTGAAGGACTCATTGCCAGTCTTCAGGACTCCCAGGAGAGGCTTCAGAGTGAGCTGGACCTGACAAAAAGCAGGCTAAAGGAGACCAAGGACGCCCTATTAAATGTTGAGGTAATTGCTCATTTATACTGTAATCTAAATGTCAACAATATAAAAATATAATTCAATCCCTTTGCTTAAAGCTTATTTAAGTGTCGTTGTACTTAGTATATTAGTTCCTAGGATTCATATAGCAAAGTACTACCAAAGGTGTGACTTAACACAATAGGAATCTGTCCTCTCACAGTCCTAGAGACTAGGAGTCTAAAATTAAGGCATTGGGAGGCCCATCCTTCCTCTCACATCTCTTAAGAGAGGATACCTCCTTTTTTGTAGCTTTTTTGTTTCCCTAGAGATTCTTTTGTATTTGGCCATATAGTTTTGATCACTGCCTGTCTTCACATTATCATCTTGTGAGTGTACTACTAGCCATATTGGATTAAGAGCTCACCGTGCTCCACTATAACCTCATTTGAAGTAAATCCATCTGCATAGACTATTTCCAAATAAGGTTACATCCCGAGATGGAGTAAGTTTAAAGGATGAGAATTCAATAAATCTATTAGAGGCACAGTTAAATTCATGATAATTATTATGTGCAAATTCTTTTCCTTGATTAAAGTTGGAACTTTCACATATATCAAACATGTGCTTCTTTATGATTTACAAGTCTCACTTTCCCACTTCATTTTCAAGAAGCACCGCAAAGTTTTAGACTGCATAAATGGTAGACAACCCATAAAATGAGGCAGGTAATAGCCAGTGGGGTTCTTTCTGACCTTCTCCCTCAGAAGTGCTCTGGAACGGAGGCTCCAAAGTCAGGCTGGTCCTGTGTGAATTTTGCATCAATCACTTTGGAAAGAGCCTCAGATTCCTCCTTGACAATTTAATAAAGGAGAGCAAAGGATAATACTTTTTGCTCATAACTGTAATAATTAAAAGAGATAAGCTGTGTACAGTATAGTGCTTAGTAAGTACTCAGTTAACATTTACTTTAGAAATAGTCCCTTTAGCTTAGAACTGGTGGCATTTCGAGTGCATATGCACTTTAGTGGAGGAACCTTCTATATTGTGCATGTATGATTCTACTCATGTTTTACTTGAGGTGTGGCAAAACAGTTTTCCTTCTGTATACCTTTCTCTACTGGTTTTATTATTTGAAAGTGCTAATATATGACAAGAAATAGGTCGAAACTTACTATAATGTACAACATATTTAATGTATGTGATGCCAAACATTGTCTATAACCTCAATGGTAATATTCTGTCACATAAAGCTGAATTGTACAACTAAATCATATTAAGAGGCATTTTTGTACATTGCCAAAAGTAAAAAGAAGAGGCTATTTTTTTAAAACTTATTTATTTGTATTTTATGCATATGATTTTTTTGCCTGTGTGTGTGTAAGTACACCCATGTCACACACTGCCTGCAAAGGCCAGAGAGGGTGTCATATCTCTGGAACTGGAGTTAAAGGCAGGTGTTAGCACCATGTGGGTGCTGGGAACTGAACCCAGGTCCTGTGCAAGAGCAGCCAGCACTCTTAACTGCTGAGATGTCTCTCCAGCCCCAAGGAAGAGGCTATTTTAAAGTAGTAAAATATATTTTAAAATGAATGGTTGAAATTTGTGCATGTATTGTGTGTGTGTGTGTGTGTGTGTGTGTGTGTGTGTGTGTGTTTCCTTGGAATCAAACTCAGGACCTTGCTCATCAACTGGCCTTTTTCTCTGTTCTGCTGGAAAAAATTTTAGAAAATAGATGGGCTGGAGAGATGGCTCAGCAGTTAAGAGCACTGACTGCTCTTGCA